CTTAGTTATAGTAGATTATACAGTATACAATGTTGGACATGTTACTTTACAAAAGAAATAAAATCGTAATAAATTACAGAATAGAAGTGCTAAAAAAAAAAAATGCACTATACGTTTTAAAAAAACTTTATTTTAGTTAATAAAATGTTCCGATTTTATTCATGAAGTATCTATTATAATATACGAAATTACCGATTGTACTATGTTTAGAATATCGTCTACGTTTATGTGGAAAATTTATCGGTATTTTCAATAGTACCTAGGTATTTTCACTTGGGTATTTTTTACATTTTTTTTGTCGATTTTTGAGTTACCCCGGCAACAAGGGGAGTAACACTCATACATACATAATACTAACACTAATACTATTCCGATTAGAATCGTGATTCATTTGTAATGATTTATCATTGCATAATGCAATATTATATTATAAACTAAATTACACCTCACCGACAGCAGTTCGACCTTTGCTAACCTACTCACGGTGCGATGTATGTCCATTTTCTTTTTTTTAATGTTTAGTGTATTGTTTTTAGCGTTAACTATTAAAACACGTTTTGTTTTTTGATTTATTCATTTATTTTACGGAAAATCTAACCAACTCAAGTTTTTCGATACGCGTATATAGTATATATAGATGATGAAAACGAGCCCGCGAGCATGGGAACATCCAACACGTGCGACGACGACGGAAAAACGTTTCAGTCACACCACTATGTGTATATACCACTCGGGTGGAAAACTGCAAATTTGCATTAACTCGGGTTGTTCAGCCCCAGGGTTGTAACCGGCGGGGCAAGTTGGGTGTATAGTATAGAACGCGTGCAATTATTGTTTTTAAGACATTCCCACCCTATATTCTACATATCGTTATAATTCACCGCATTAAATATTATAACGTTCTATATTATATTGAAATAATATATTACGGTTTCATCTTATCTCATGTTTTATTAATAATTAGATATTAATTTAATCTCGAGTCGTAAAATCACTTTGAAACCATATATTCGTGCTATATAACTACATAGCTATATAGGCATCTGTTAATTAAAAATGTATTATTCTTGTTATTTTATACACCATGTTATAAACCGGTGAAATAATAATAATGTAAATCAATTTTAGAATCTGCAACACGAAAAATGTATGAATTAAAAATTAAAAATTTCGTTTTAAAATCGTGAGTCGATATGTATCAATATAAACCTATAATAATTAACAAAGTTTATATTAGGCATAACACTTTAAACGAACAATAATATTTTATATAGAACTGCCTTTGATTATGCTCTAGATAAGCTTCGACGAAAAAATATTTTAATTTTTAATTAATGATATTTTATGATAAACAAAAAATGTATTTACTTGTTATTAATCCGTAGTTTGCAGTTAAAAATAAGTTGTGAATTCAAATTGAATTTTAGTTTATGTTCACAATATCGATTAAAAAATAATTTATCTATTTGTTTAGAAAATTATTGAAAATCAATAATATTATGTAATGTAGCTCACTATATTTCATTTCGGTTTTACTACAACGGTTGTTCATACAAATTGTATAGTATAGTATTGTTAAAATAGGTTTACTATAATATTTATTTAATTATCGACTAATGTACACATTGGTATTTTTGAAACGCATATATTTACAATAAAATATTTAGGTATGTAAGTTTTGTTTTTAAATTTTATGTTTACTCCTTACCTATATAGTTAGGTATAATATAATATTGTCCTCATTCGCTTTAGGGAAAATGTAGGTTTAGAAAGAAAAACACACGAAAATAATATTTAATTTCTTTTCTTTTCTTTTAAAAGTAAAGTTAAGTAAGTATACAAGTATGTACAATAAATAAAAAAAAAGCTGATACTGGAGTGACTTAAGGGTATACTACTGTCGTAAGTGGAAAGTTGAGAAGGTAAGATACATAAATTTATTGATATCTGTAAGCAACGATAAACTATTGCTAACAAAAAACGATTCGGAGCGAAGTTCGGTAGTATATGTTTTGAAAGGCCGTAATATTTATGATTTTCGTCAAAATTTGATAATAATAAATTCATATAAAAAAAAAAGAAAGATATCCTAGAATAATGAAGACGGGTGCGGCTACTGTTATAGGTAATTTAATGTATATCTGTAAGCAACGATAAACCATTGATAACGAAAAAACAAAAAAACGATACTGAGCGCAGCTCAGTTGATAGTGATGTCTTGTCAACAATATATATGTCATATTATAATAAAATAAATAAATAGACATTATACATTTTTTTTAATAATATTTGTTTAATATTGTATCGATTTTCACGTTTTTCCTGCGTTTTTTCCGGTTTTTCAATGATTTTTCCCAGATAATCACATTTGCTCAGAAAACTCTTGAAAAAATCGAAAAATGACCTTCTTAAAGTACCTTTCCAGTCAGGTTTATTTCAGAGAAAGCGCTATCATTGTAAATCGGATCAAAATTGTTAGTAGAAAAGTTATACGTAGAAAAAAAAAAGACTATAATATTTTTTTATTAATACCTACATTTCGTAGATTTTCCGTTTCTCCGACATTTTATCCCGTTTATTCCCAGTTATTATGAAAACCGATTGAAAAATCACAAAAATGACCTGTTTAAACCATGGAGTAAAATTTCCTTTCAGAAAATAAGTTACATTTGATACATGGGAGCAAGATTTGAGAGAAGTTTGCACAACAGATCGATGGGTATTTTTTGATTCAAATCGTCATATTTAGGTGAAAGGGAATAAAAGAGTGTAAAAAATGCCTTATCAAACCCCGGGTTTGAATACGGACCTCTAGTACGACAATACGTATTCATGACCATTCTACTACAACAAACGTATTCCAAAATAAGACAATAAGAAGTTATTTAACATAACATGTAATATCTGCATAATATCTGAACTTCAAAAAGCTATAATTTCGAAACTTAATCAGTCCGCTCAATTCTGACTTTATCATCACTTAAATTTGCAATATATATATATATATGTTAAAAAAAAAAAAAAAAAATTGAAAAATTAGATTTGTTCCACATAATTTTTTACTCAAACAATTTTCGTCAAAATGAAGTATCAAAATTCCTTTATAAAAACAAATAATACATTAAACTCATTTTTTATTTTACCGCTAAGTAAAATTTAATGAACCTTCTATTAAATTTTAAAGCATCTCTGTTAAATCTAACAATTTTACTACAGAGTACCTACCGAATAAAAATTAAAACTAGCAAAATTAAAATGTCTATAAATAGATCAAAAATAGCTCAAATGTTTTCAAAATTTTACTACATCTAAAAAGAGAACCATGAGTTTCCTGTCAAAATTTCAAGTCTCAACGAATATATTTTTAACTTAATTAAAAAAAAAAAAAACAGAATTAAAAGTAATAAAATAATTATCTTTTTAAATTTTCCTGTTCCTTCTACGGCTTTTTTCGATTTTACTCAATTATTAAAAATCTACATGAGAAATCAAAAAACAATTATTTTTACTCACAAACAAGATTAAAAATACAACACCAATGATCTTTTTTTCTATTGTAGCAATATTTCCGGTATAAAACATAAGCCGTACAAATATAAAATAAAGAAATCGCAACGACATACATTTGTTCGTGTTTTCTCGGTTTTCCTAATTATTTTGAAAACTACTTAGAAAACTTAACCTAATCCACTCAGAGAAATAATAAAACAAAACAATTAAACTCTCTTATACATTTAAAAATATCATATAAATTTTAAAGTAGCCTCTAATTATTATTATTCGTTTGCTATACATAGTACCTATATACAGCCCTATATAAAGTATCTACATTCAATTTGGGGGGAAATATTCCCATAGCCTAGTTTAAAATCAAGTGTCCAAAGTCTGACTGAAAATCAGTATTTAAAGAGCAATTAGATTATAAAAATAACCAGACCATATAAGAACAAAATCTAGAACCTTGTATACAAAATAAAACCCACGCAAAACCACAAAACACGTAGACCCTTTCAAATATCTATATGTAAGTAACCCAAAAAAGACCTGGATATTTTGAAAATTATGTACCTACTAGAAAATTCTTCCCTAATTTTCCAGGTGAAAAATTCGCATATTTTAAAAGGTAATCTGTTCGGAACTGCACTGGGCGGGATCGAAAGAATAATCGTTTTCCAAGGAGAGAAAAAAAAACACGGTTTTAGTAAAATTATACATGTTATTTTAATATTATACATATTATTATATATGCTTCTCTGTTACACTCAGAATGTAAAATTTCGAAGGTTACCGCGGTCGGTACCTAAGAAAGGATGGGAGGGAGGCAGGGGGGATCGCGGCGATGGAAACGCGTCTGCGGAAGGAAGGAAACCGTAACACCCCGTCCAATTAGGAGCGGCGGGGGCGGCGTAAGTGTGTACGTGTGAGCGGGAGGACCCCGCGGAGAAGGACGTCGACGTATTACGTACCGGTTGACAACCGGATCGGCCGCAGCCATACTGTCCGATACATAATAATAATGATAAACAACGTGTTACGCAAAGTAAGTATACAACCTGTCGCGCCCGCGTATTGGTCGGCGGAGAGCGCGCGAACGCCCGTGAGTGGGAGAGACGTGTCGTAATGCGTCGTCCTCTCGCGTCTCTCCGCGACGGTATTTTACCAGAACCGCGGTCGCGGTCGCCCCCCGAACAACTAGCTGCAGTTTCCCGCGCGTCCGTTCGCGTCCGTTTTTGCGCGCGCGCTAGCGTATATTGTTCCGGCGAAAAGCTTTTCGCGCGCGTCGTCAGTTATAGGTACCGCGGTAACCGCACGGTGTGCATATGAACGGTCAATGGGGAGGAGAGGGGGGAGAGACGCGAACCGCGAAGGACAGGTGTGTCTTTCTCGCGGCCGCGATTCGTCGCGTAGATACATCCGTTTCAATATAGTACGTTTATTTTGTTGGTATTTTTTTTTTTTTCAATCCGAAATTTCGACGACGTCGATAATAATACTATAATATGGACTTTGACGGTCGTCCGTCATCATTGTCGTGGAACGACGCGGTGGAACGGCTAAGAGAAATCCGCGAAGACGACTTAGCGTTCGTGGAGTCCGGTCTGCAACCCGAAAGACAACTGGTCCGGCCGACCGTGGCCGAGCTATACGTTAGGTACATACTTAAAACCGTTGTTTAAACCTCGTTTTCAGATTGTATATGATAATAATCCGCATGTTATGCTTAAATACTTATTTACGTTTTACACGTTTCTATGATATTTTTCATCGAAAGTATCATATAAAACCGTATTCTACAGTAAAGACCATTTATAGCAGTAAAATTCTTCGTTTTTCTTTTGTAATGAATAATTTTGTCAATAATTGTATCTTTAACTATTATTTTACGAAGCCAATATTAGTAAAAACGAAAAAGTAAAATAATAAACAAATGGGCGTACTTCGAATCGGAAAGGGGTCCTAATACAATGATAAATAAATCCAAATTCGTAAAAAAAAAATATAATAATAATAATAATAAAAAACAAACTTTTAAATAAAGGACTTCGTTAAACATTTTTACTAACAATTGTATACCCATTGATAATAAGACGAACAAATTTTTTGAGTAAATAATAGTATATTAGTGAAAATATGATTTTTCGTCAAATTTATTATTTTTAAACAAACTGCCGACTTGTGGGAACCATATTTTATGATATTCAATCTCATTAAAACTACATAATTTAATATCTTCCTAGTTTCATTCTGAATTTAAAAATATATTAAACGATTTCAGTTATAATTAGGGGATGATAATTATCTCAATGATTATCTTTTCATTTCTAAATTTATTAAAAACAACAAAAAACTTTATAAGTGTCACCTATACCTTGTAAAAAGTGTTAAAACTCATATAATCATAATGATGGGAGATTGATAAATAATAATTATTGATAATTATATAGGTACAAACAACTTTGTGATGATATTTCATTCTCTTATAATAATATCGATTAAATTTAATTTTCGAACATTTAATTTTAATACAAGATCAAAATGACGATGATGAAAAATCAAAATATTTATTTTATTGCATGATAGACAGTTCGTTGCTTTCAGGTACATAGTCATTAGTAACGAATTAACCGTATGCCACGATTCTATTATACAACCACAGATACGTATTCTGATTAAACGGATGCTAATGTGCATCCATGGCCGTGTGCTCGAACTCAAACAAATTCTTATGGATGAAGACAAATCGATTTATACGTGTGTTAAAAATAATAATATTATTATAATTATTATTTTGGAATAACGAAAAATAATGATTGCATAGGCCAGTAACCGAGGAGTTGGCTAATTTAAAATTGACGTACGACCAGTTCGAATTACAGATACCTCGATGTTTCCGAGACGAGAGACAATTGTTTTTAAACGACATAGACAAACAAATTGACGAAATACACAGTCAAGTAGAAATCGAAGAAGAAGACAGAGTGGATGAACAAGGTTCTTCTGCAGCGTCTAGTCAAACGAGTAGTAAAGAAACGCTCGATTCGGATTTGAATGCAGCAACATTTCTAAATCATGAACAACAAACATCGTTGATTTTGCCACAGATAACGCGCCAAGATATTCGACGGGAATTAGCTATAAAATTCATACAAAAACACATTAGAGCGGCAAATGATCGTAAAATTGTTAATGAATGTATGAACGTGACAACATTTTAATCAAATTTTAACTTATTAAAATATAATATTTACTTGATTTAGTAATGTCCGCTAATAGAACAAGAGACAACATTATTTCCGGAAAATATAAAAACCCCAGTCAAGATAAAGCTCATACGGCGGCAATTCAGATTCAACGGTATTGGAGATTTTATCGGATCATGAAATGTACTAAAATCAGAACTCAAAGAAAAAATATCGTAATTGGTATGACAAAAAAATATTGCTAGTTGTATATTATAATTTTAACCAGATTTAGTTTTCAATCCGAGTACTTAATATTTTTTATTTAGTTGAATTAATACATTTTTTTCTGTTCTTAACCGTAAATAACAGTCTTAGGGTATCATATATTATATGTTTAATTCAGGCATGCATATGTCAAGTGAGAGACCGAAAACCGATGTTTTTGTCAATGTAGAAGAAAAAACTTTAGTAAAACAGTCCGAAGCAGCAACGAAATTTTGGAAAGTCATAAAAAAATTACAAAACAAATTAGACCGATATAATCGTCACGAAATAATAGCAGAAATAGAAGACGAGCTAAGAGCATATATATGGACGTATTTTGAGATATGTAAGCGTTTACCGACATGGCCAAATCCAGTACCTATAATATTCGAGGAAAATGACGAATTCGGAATGCCACCAATAAGTACGTTATAATAGCTGGTGTTAAAAATAATTATTATGTTAATAAACTATTAAGTTTTCGTAGGATAGGGACGATGTCCGAAAATGTAGGAATATTCCGTTGTTAGAAAAATGATAATACAACAAGTTCACTAGAGCTACAGTAGTTTTTCTAAAATTCTAAACTACAAACTGTATGTCCTCGTGTAATGTGACCAATCTTTCTCAAAACAAATTGACTCATAATACAATTTAACAATTTCTGATTGTCTACCACCCACCCAACATATCGTGTCCAGTTCATATCTTCTTAGCCTATATTGGTTACTACCAACGAAAATTATAAAGATAAATAATGATAAGAATAAATGATAAAAGTTCGAAAGCGCAATTTTCATACTCTATTAAAGTTTTTGAAGTACAGGGAGACTGCTCGTTACACATATCGAATTCACTTACCAATTCGATTGCAACTTCGTATTGTCTCTTCGTCCAGCCCTACATAAGGGAGGGAAAATAACCACTTACCTAACTGAAATTTTCAACCTGATACTACTTCAAGGGTCAAAATGTATAGTATCCTAAGGCTAAAACCTAAACGTCGGTTTTATTTCATGTACCTACAGTGTGTAAATATGCGACCGGTCGTGCGTTACTGAAAACGGTTCTTATCATTTTCTTAACATTTTCAAAAAACTGCTTATCGCACTTTTTATAATTTATTTTGATAACGTTATCTAAATTTAGTTTTGTCAGAGGCCATCTTACAACAATTAAATATACCCAAAACATATTATCAGTCTGCGCTAAACCAACGAGTACCGCTAGGCGGTTCGGCTATTTTCCATACGGGCAGGTGGATGACTATTGAAATGGTTAAAATACTCGCGACAACGATTATAGAATTCGAAGGTAAACCGAAAAATGAACAGAATGAATTAATTAAAAATTACGCGATTGCAAAAAATAAAGTAAGAATAACCAACAACTGCAGCAGCATCTAAATATATATAAATGGTAATTTATGTAGGAAAAAGAAGATAGTATGAAAGAACGAAATCTTATTATTGCAATGAACAAAAAACTTAGAGCTAGAGGTGATTTTATTCCAGAACCTAGTGATTTAACGGAATGGTTTACTGAAATATTATATGAATACGATACCGAATGGACAGCCTATGATGATTTAGATCTTCAACGGCCCAGAGAGGACTTGATAAAAACTGAAATATACGCTTCAGCTCAAGTTGAATTACGAGCTGCGGTAGATATAACCATGAAGAATGAATTGACTACACTTCAAATAGCGTACGCTCAAGACATGAGTATGTTAGACTGTCTGATTATAATATTTAAATAATAAGTTTAAAAATGTGTATTTCACTACAGAGGTAAAGTATAAACCGCCGAAAGAAAAATCAAAAAAAACACCTAAAGGAAAACCCAATAAAAAAAAAACTCTGAGCCCGAAAATGATGTTCGAAGAACTGGTTAAGAACGATATGATTAACAAATCAGTATATTCTAAATTTGACGACTTTAAAGGAGAGGTTTCGTATTGCGCTAGTACGTTAAGAGGAGAACCGCATATGTTAGATCCGCCTTATGGTTTGGGTGATGTGCGTCAAGTAAGTCAACAAATTGACGACTGCCGTCGATAAACATCGATTTTTTTAGATTATATTTTTGTTGAATTTATTATAGCTCTTATAATTTCATACACAATTATATAGATCATAAAAGAATTGTGTGTCATCGGTTTGAATTTCCCAGAACTCCGTACGACAAAACAAATCAAATTTAAACCGTCGTTTTTGATTGCGGGTCCTCTAAAATCCGGTAAAACTATGTTAATCAACGCCATATGTACCGAAACCGGATCGTTAAAGATCGAATTGACTCCTCAGAATATATCGGCCTATTGTCCCGACAATCCCAGCATTGCACAATTTGTTAATAATATTGTAACGGTATAGTGATACCTATATATATATATATATACTTTATTTACACGAAATAATCATTGCATTTTATATTCTGCAGATGGTTGAAGTTTATCAGCCGGTCGTGATCGAAGTGGACTGGGCGGACGTACCGTTTTATGTTACAAAGCATATTCCGAATCAATTAAAATCGTTCAAGCCGAAATTATTGAAAACAGTCTTGGTAAAGCTTTTAAAATCATTGAAATCCTCCGAACGGGTAATAATCATAGGAAAAGCCATGTGTCCTTGGTTAACCGTCGGTCAAACATTAGTAAGCATATTATTCGTATTCTTATTTCGATTTATATTGATTTTTTTCACTGGCATGAAAATTAATTCGAATTATATTTCTGAAGAATATTATTAATTATCGTTAGTTATACTTTATACATTTGTCAATGTATGTCTGTCCGTATGCGCTCTATCTTTCATACGGTTACGAATTTCATAATGTGATTTTCTCTGAACGATTAGTTAAGTTCTTAGAAAGGTCCCTCGTTGATTTTCAGGCTAATCGATAAAAAAACACCCAAGAACAGCAGCTATAAAGTCACTAAAAATTCGAATTACCTCCAGTCGACTTATCGTCGTTATAAAAATTAATTGATCCAAAATAAGTAATAAATGTCAGTAATAATTGGTCTGTAGAGATACTTATGATCAGGTATTTCCCGTGAAAATATGTAATTATGATAATGATAAGACCCCGCATGCCGCTTCAGGAAGTCAGATACTGGATAGCTATATTAGTGGTACAGCAATAGCCGAAAAAGTGAGAATTCATCTAGATGATTCTCGATCCGGTCGCCGAAATTTTTAGCATTATTTTCTAAACCAAAACGGTCGTGTCGAGAAAGGCTGCAGAAGGCGGTTGAAAGTTTAAACATCCCTAAAGCAACACTTTAATATTTACACCATGTACACACAAAATCGCATTCCCGGTTTCGTTTTGCCGATCATTAGGTTAGTATTAAAATTTAAACAAAATGTTATTATTTCAATTCGTCTAGATTAAATTGTCTTTATAATTATTAGCGGAAAAAATATGCAATAATATATTGTAACAGAGTAACGGACCCAATACAGCTAGTATAAATAGTGTCCATTTTCGGGGAAAATTTGACAAAAATTGGGAGTTCACGGTACTTTGATCCTTCGATTTGTATCAGTATATTCTTTTTGAAGATATTATAATTCTTACGGAAGAGAAAAAACGTGCAGGTACGCATATGCAATCTGATACAGCGAGTTTTTTTTTTTTCAAGATATCCATTCTCCGCGTTAGTTTTTTTCGTAGTTATAAAGGTACCTATACAACTTGGGTATTATAATACTGATATTCGACTATCAGGTGTAGCGTGTAGGTCCGCCCATCGATATTTCACTCGGCCCGAACTGCGAGGAGCCGTGTCGGAGGAGCTTAGTCGGAGACCGCGACAAGCATCTAGGACAATGTTTCACGTTGTCTTATGCGTTTTTTTTTTTTTTTTTTGTTTTATCGATACACTCGTATAATATGTATATTGTGTGTGTGTACACGCGTAAAGTGTATGAAAATAACAATAATAACACGGTGCGCGCGTGTGCCCGGCCCGCACACACGAGTCCCGCGGAGATTTTTACTTACGATACAGGTATTTTTCGAAACCAAACGGCCGGGGTGGACGGACGCGGAATAGTGAGAGCGGCGGAACGGGTGTAGAGAGCGGAACAGAAAACTAAAAAAAAAAAAAAAAAAAAAAAAAAAAAAAATGCTTATTATTTACTGCAGAGACGAGAGAAATACCTGTAAAACTCGACGTGCTCGTTACATACAGTACGGGTATGTATACGGCCGTACTATATAATTATTTCATTCATTAACCGCATACCTATGACACGGAAAATCTCCGCGTCCCATCTTTATATTATATACTATAGCTGGTCCATTGTCTCGGCATTTACAACAACATGGACCTATATTATACGATACACTCGTATATATGCGTATAAAACTCGCGGGACGTTATAATTATGATTAAACGATACACTCTTGTTTTTTTTTTTGTTAATAAAATATTATACGAAATAAATAATATGATTCGCCGCGTTCGTATTTATATACGAGTAGTGAAGTATGTCACGTGCATACATCTATATAATATAGTTCAGGTATTTCAGAACAACGACGGCAACCACCCCCTCCCCCTCCGCGAAAAGTTTCCTAATATTTACATTCACATTGCTAAAGTATACATATAACTAGGTTTCACTGTAATCCGCTATAATTTTCAATATTTTGATTAGTAAAACAAAACTCGAAACATTCAAATAATTTTAAAAAAAAAATATAAAAATTATACTGAAAATCGTTTTTGTTTATAAACAATATGCATGTACCATGTAAGGATAATTTAAACTAAAGTACACATTGCATATTCCGTGTGTTGCTCGTCAAATAATATTATGTTCCTCATCTACAGTTTTAAATCCAATGGATACCGCGGGTTATCAATTCTATAGATTTCGGTCGCCTCGCGCCCCAGCTTCGTTTATTGGTTGTCCGACGGATGCACCGAGAGGCAATCGGTTGTGTACAATTTTCGAGGAACATCGAAATGCGTCGGATTTATTATCTGATTGGCCATCGAGTCTAATAAGGAATTAAGGAATAAGGAATAATTATGCATAACATATAAAATAAGACGAATACGCGATGACAATTAGGCTAGGGTCATACTATGCGTTTTTCGATTACCGCAATTATTTGGATAAATTTGGTGATTTAACATCCCCAAAAAAAAAAAATTGTTAGTTTCAACAATTGTTTAAAACTTGTTCGGAAATATAGAATAAAAATACGGATATATAATTCCTACAGTGAATGTTCTATTTTTGTATAGATGGAAAGTTGGGTGGTAAAATATACACCAGAGTAATTTAATTTAAACTGATGAGCGTTAAAAATGTTCTAAAAACCTTAAAATGAATAATATAAAAATTGTATAACTACAATTAGTAATTACAACACTATTGTCCCGTGTCCGTATTTGTTTTTATCAAATTGTTGAACATTTTTATTTGAAAATAAACAATTTTTCTCCACGTAATTCGGAAAATATATGTAGTTCACCAACATGTTTTTATAATTTTCATTTGAACTTCAAATGCTTAAAAAAAATTCAGACGAACCTTATTGTATCGAATTTTCGATTATTTTTGAAAAACCAGAAAATTATATCAACATAAAACCAAATAAAAACTAATGAAAACAAAAATAGGCTAAATAATTCAAAAGGCATCAGATTGTTTTGGAAATTTTACCACGTCTAGAACTGGTTTTTATAAGTAATAAGCGCAAATGTGAAAGATATTATAACTGCTATTATAACTTTTAACCGAATTCAATTGAATTCTGAAAATAACAAAAGCCATTATAATTATATTATATTCTCATTTTTCTCGACATTTACTAATTTTTCAAGACAAGGAAAATCAAAATATAACGTTCTGAATGCATCTGCAGCTAGACAAAATCGTCTACCTGAAACTACTGATTATATTTTAAGCGCAATAATCCATGACAGTTTACACTAAACAAATATAATAATCTTAGGTACTTAGCGGGAATTAATTCTGTTAGTATAAAATTTTAAAATGATTTATTTTTTCAGTCAAGCGTGTTCGATACCGTCGTATTCACCGTACCCGACTACAATACTATGTTCATGTCACTTCAAGAATCCCTTATGCGTTATCCGGCGATTAGCCGAACATTTCCGGTCACGGCGTTGGCCACTATACTGAGTAGCTACTCGAGACAAATGGTCATTGATATTGTGGACGAAGTTATGAACAACGAACGGGTGTTGACGCTCAGACAAAAACCATTGGAACCCAAAGAGTTTATACCCTACATGATAAAATATCCAAAGAATCCGGAACTACGCGATCAGTTCTACAATTGGTACATACGATTTGTACCGTTGGGCATAGAGAGAACTCTGCTACTTGCGGTGCTTGAATCAAAAAGAAAAAAATAAAGCAATTTTTTTTATTTTTAAATAAACTACATTCCATAAAAAAAAATATTGCAATTATTTTTCCGATTATCTTTATAGTACATATCTTACGGTATGGTACACAAAGATTTTCGGACGGATCTTCAGTTTTTTTTTAACATGAATTATACGTTATCATTATGAATAGACCGCTGTGGTACGTGGGAAGTTGGGAAGATAAACGATGTAGAGAAATGTATATAGTTTTTATACTTAAAACAACAGTAGATCATTTTATCTAGTAGATATTATCAGTAGATCAAGTTTACAGTCAGTTTGCATTGGTTATGTTTTCACCTTTGTAACCAATAATAAAGTATAACTCGAAAATCAACAAAAATAAAAACCAATCGTCATTTGTTTTCAGTTTTTTTTTTTTAAATGTTTTTCATGAAACTTGGGAATATTAAAAGATTATTCAAGTATCACCGGACAAATAATTCGCATTTTTTAAGGTGACTCTAGGTCATCAATTAACTCGAGTGTTAAAAATAATATATATAAAGGAAAAAAAAATAAATATATATAGGTTGAGAATCGCATGTATTTTGAGCAAGGCCGTCTGCGTAGAAAACGCCACTTCTGTATGTACAGGGCGATTTTTTTTTTATCATGAACCAGCAATTATCTCAGGATTTTAAGTGAATTTGATTTCTGTTTTTTCTAATCGTTATGGAATCGTATTACCCTTCCCTACTCCTCCGGTCTAAACTTTAAACTGTTATAACTCATAAACAGTAAATTTAACAGGTATTAGTGTTATGTATACCAAAATTTCTAGACAAATATTCTGTTTTTAAATCTGTTTTCAAAAGGGGGGGTGTCCTATTTGAAAATCAAAAGTATGCACTTATTTAAGGTATATGGAGTAGGGGTAAAAAATTAAAAATTGTTTTAAAGTAAAGCTTAAACGATTCCATAATGATTAGAAAAAAACAGAAATCAAATTTACATAAAATCCTCTGAGATAATTGTTGGTTCGTGATAAAAAAAAAAAAATCACCCTGTGTATTACTCTATACGCAAACAATACAACACTTCATACAATATTATCTTTGATGCTATTTAAGTTCATTAAAAATCGCGAGAAGCATGTGATAAACTGCAGTAGGTATATTCGTGTCTGTGACAAAATCTACGAGTTTCGTGGGGAAAGTATAAAAAAAAATATGTACCGTTTTTTTTCTCGAAAATCCCTACTATACACAGACGTTGCTGTTTTTCGAGATGCCGGACGTGCAAGGCCCGGTCCACGGGCAGTCATATAACAACAGATCAATTGGTATACCGGCGGTATTTCAAACGGGAAACGTGTTGCCGAAAACGTATAAATAAATAACGATAAAATGTGATTCGATAAGAATAAATACAGACGACGGTGAACTGTGTTACGGGCACGTGACACGAACAACGGACGACCGAGAAAACGGCCGATAGGAGACTCCCGAAAAAAACAAAAAAAAAAAAAAAAACCACCGCACACTCGGCCCCGCAGTTATATTATAGCGAATAAGTTCGTTTAATGAAATCGGGAACTTTTTATGTTATCCGGTCGGCGGCGGCGGCAGATTTTATTACACGGTCCACCGGGTGCGGGTTTCGGAGCGCGTGAAATGGTGCACGGGAGGGCGGTCGTGTGCGGTTGCCAAGGGGCTGACTGTCGGACGGCCGGTTGCCGGAGGGGGCGAGGGGCGGCGGGTTTGCGCCCGGAGCGCATTGATCGGCGCGAAGCTCCGTACCGCGTCGGCCGCCCGCCTGCCTGCGAAAGCTCAATATGCCCCTCGTCTCCACCGCCACTGTCCCAACCCCCCACCCCCTCCATCCGTCGCCCGCCTGTCCTTAAGCACACACGCACTGCACACGGCGGCGACCGTACCCTCTCCGCCGACGACCATTTTGTTATTTACACACGTTACGCACTCGTATAATACATAACTATTCCTACACATTCTACAGGGTCATCGAAATTGTATATGCCAAAGTATAAAATGCTTCTAATTATTATTATTATTAAATTTTTTATTTTTTTTCAACGACCTATAGGTTTTCGGAAAACTTTTTAGAATCACATAGGTATCATTGTATTATATACGCGTAATTTATACAACTAAATATGATATAGGTATTCTAAATCCATACGACGGCATTTCTCAACTCTGTTTACGCACTATAAAAAGCGGGCATTTTGTTACGTATAGAATTTATAACTTTTTGAAATTCGAATTCGGAACCTATTGTATATTTTTGAAATACGATTCACGTATACGGTTTAATTTATCACGACGGTTCGCCCGTCAACAATCATATATATTTGTTTAAAAGCTTATCATAATGATACACCATTGACATTTTACAAGTTATACAATTTAAAAAAAACAACCTCCTTCAATTATAAATAATAATAACAATTGTTAATTTTTTTTTTTTGTGACCAGTAAATAAAAACAAGAAAATAAAAACAAAATATAAAATCGAATTGGATCTAGCTGGTTACACATCACTTACATAAGCATTATATAGCTGGTGATATCGAGTTCACGCAAAATTAAATTTAAATTACATAGAATATTAAGAATAGTTTTTTTTTTACTGCATATATAGCATGGTATTGATGTACAGGAGAATAAAAATATACAACACACAGTCATAGAAATATTCATAACATACATATGAAATAAAATAAAATAATATAAATAAATAGACTACGGTAAAAGTAATAACAATTGGTATAGGTAAATGTGTGACAGTTAGCAGTTAATCGTCAAAAACTAAGTGTTAGCGGTTAGGTTAGGTGCTAAGTGTTTAGAATAGTTAATATAGATTCGCAATAATTGCATAGTAATTGTTGAAGACATTCAAGAGTTAATCATATACAAAATAAGAAAATACATATAAACGTATGTTGGTAATAAATTATAAACCTCAAAATTATACATTTTTTCAAAACTTAACACATTGACATTATATTGACGTATCATCGTAACGAGTGACTGCACGTCAAATGCATTAAAAGTTGAATACGAATCATATATTTATATAATATTTTAGATTTCCGTTCGAATTTTTAAATGTCAAATTTCCTGTTTTTAATAAACGAAAATAAAAACAAGCCATCAAAATGTGCATTGAGAATACTTTTGAGAATATTAGAAGAAAAAAAAAAAACTTAAATATTTTATAGTGAAATCCATAAATTGGCCACCGTAGACGACACTGTATATAATAATATATAGTGATATGTACGGGCGCTGTTACGTGTACGAGCAATTTTTTCGGGAGTTCATTTTCGTGGCGATTAAAAAAAAAAAACTAGAAAATACGGTAAAATGTTTACTGTTAACGGTTACAATACCAAACCTTTTGCGCACGATAAATCTATAATAATCATTCGTTTTCCACTAGCATCGACAACATTGTACTTCCCTAATAATGTTGTATGTCCAGGGTCCAGGTTATAAACTAAAATAAATTACTAAACGAATACAAACTTTTCATTTTTTTTTATAAAAATAATTGTTTAGAATTTAAAATTATTCACACATCCTATAGACAACAATAATTATGATACTAAAAATATATAACAACGTTTTAGGAGATAAGATCTTCAAAGACCATGTAATATAAAATAAGGAAAACCGATATTACGATAATATTTTAACGGTTAACGGTGGTTACGGGTACGGATCACCATAATAACAAAACAATAACAAAAAAGTGTTCCTAAAATGTATGGATCGGCCGAGTAATCCGTAGAATTATAAAATCCTGTATTCTTTCCTACAGCGTCGATAAAAATAAAACCGCATCGTGTAATAATTTTAAAAGTATCAAACCCACGATCGCTACCGTCGATCGCGACCCTCCGGGTAAAAATCGCAAACCTGTGTACAATATATCATACCTATAATACTTACATTATTATATAGTCACGACCTTTTAGACGATATTTTATTTTTATTTATACGTTCGCATGCACATTGAATCCGATCACGCACGCGTATACTACTGCAGACATAAGTATATTAATTTATTTTATTGCGTGTACTATGCACGCCTATCGAATCGTGGAATAAAAATCCTCCGGGAAGAAAATCCCTTATACCCAATCGGCGGCAAAAAACGCCTACGGTCCTGATAAGTGGCCTTGTCAAGAGGACGCGGGAAACACTGCCGCAGGTGTGTGTTATGGGTGTTTACTCGGGAAGTTTTTCGCATAACACTACCTAAATGGGACGTTCCGCGGCCGAGATAATAACGTCAAAGTAAATGATGGTAACCTATATATTATTCGAAAATTTCATAAATTGGCAGAGTATAATATTTTACACGTGTTTTCGGTGTTGACATCTGTATATTATAATGTAGTCAGTACACTCCACTTTTAAAGGTTATCGGGTAGGAGCTAGGCGGAGAGTGGGCCGTCGTTTGTTTTAACGTTTCGGAGCTATACTATTGTTTCTTGAATTGTTGTGAAAGAAAAAAATAATAAATACTTTCCGAGACATCCGAGACACACGCCTTTTGTATTACGAAAACGGCGGGCGGTAAATTTGTCACTCTCAATGTCCGATATTGGTCGTGATGCCCGCGGGTCCGTGGGTGTATCCGCAGAACCGCTATTATTATAATATACCGCGGTCACCACGGCCGGTCGTCGTCGTCGTCGCGCGCGGTTCGTGTAGGTCCTGGTTCGGGACTCGGAAGTTTTCCGAGCCCGTCCGCTCGGGGCGACGACGGCGGCGCGCGAAACGAGACGCGCGGCCCGTACGCGATAATAATACTATTTCAACTCGAGTGATTTATTTTCTCAAATCGTAATAATACACGAGTTAAGTACGCGTATATAATATACGATAACCGATCGTTCGTTTGCACCGCATAAAATGTAATGTTATATAAACTCGTGATAGACAGCAACCGTGCACGTTAGTAACACGCGGTATCAGTGGCGTATTTACCGGCGGAAATCCAGGAGATAAATCTCCCCCTTTGACATTTCTTTCAATAGCTGT